GGAGCAATCTGTGGTTTATGTGAAATGATTATTAAACTTTACGATACTATTAAAGAAAACAAGGTAATTTCCAGAGCATTAATTAATAGAGTTGAATTGGCACATGTAGCCGTAAAACAAATGGAGAGAGAAAAAGAAGAAAATGAAGAAAATTTTCGTAAAGAAAGTTATTTTAAAGCATTTAATAGACTTGAAGTTGTTTTGAAAAATATTGAAACTTTTATTAAAGATATTTCAAATTATGGAGGATTTAGAAAATTCATTAATGCTGACCACATTAAAAAGTGCTATAATGATCTTGTTAGAAATTTGGAAGGAGCTTGTGCAGATTTACAATTCAATGTAATTCTTTCTAGTTATCATACAATGAGAGAACAAGACAATAACACAGAGGGTTATTTTGCTAAAATATGGGAAAAGCTTGAGGTATAATATTGATTTTTTTATTTTTTTATAAGTGAATGCATTGAAAAATATATTGATATATACTGTATATATATATATATATACATACTTGTTTAGAATGTTGAAACAATGCAGCATAGTGAATTAGTTTTAATAAAAAAATTAAATAAATGTTTGGTATCTGACAATGTGGAATTTAATCCCATAATAAAGTTGGCAAAAATTGATCCCAAGGATATAGATGATGTAAAATCAAACTGTAGAAAGTCTACAGATTTAAGAGGTGCAAATAATAGGATTGTTAAAAAAATACTTAGAAAAACAGTTGAGGTAGCATGTAAAAATATTTTAAATTATCCAAGGGATGATGATACCTCTGAATCAAAAAAATTTCAAGCAAAACTTGCAATACTAAATGCTATTCAATGCAAATATATTATTAAATTTTATGGTATCTCCAATGTAAATTCTCATGATGCTTTGATATTTGGCTGGGCTGAAAAGGGCAATTTAAAAGATTTGTACAATACTCATTACATTGACTGGGTTACAAAATTAAAGATATCATATGATGTCATTAGAGGACTTTTATTTATGCATAGTGGTGAAATTTTACATCACAATGTTAAATGTGAAAATATATTAGTAGGTTTTATTTATGTTTATTTTGTAAAATATTATTAGTATGATTAAAGCATATCAACATGTACTCTTTTTAGATCGATGAGAATGGAAGTGCAAAAGTTTCAAATTTTGAGCTTAGTCGTAATTTATCTGGTGAAACTACAATATTATCAGATTTAAATGATTATATTCGTTGGATGGCTCCTGAAAAGATGGGATCAAAGACTCAACGTTATAATCTTTATTGTGAAATGTTTAGGTAAATATAGATAGAAATGTTTTGAATAAAAATCTATCAACTGAATTTATTAATTTGTTCATTCATTTAGCTTTGGAATGTTTCTTTGGGAGCTTGCTTATCAACAAATTCCATATAATGAAATGAATGTAACTAGTATTAGTGATCATGTCCTAAGTGGTCAAAGAGAATCTATAAAGATTGGATTTTGGATCAGGAATTTTTTGATTTGATTGTCAATTTTGAAAATACTCTGGGATGTGAAGAGGATTTTAAATAGCTAAATCTCTGGTCAGTCAATAATTATTTGTCAATTGCATCACTCCACCACCATTGTTGTCATTATAATTTAGTAGGTGTGATTGGCTTACGATATTTTGAAGGTGTAGAAGGTAACAATGTACTGAGACAGAACATCTTATTATTGAATATTGGAGCAAAAGTATTATTAATTCCATGACAGCTAATTTCCTTTCCATGACATGCTTTCTACAAATAATTTGGATGGCTTAGCTTTTATATGATATCACATTCCAGATCAATAAAGTTTCTAGCGATAATAAGGGATTTTGTTCTTAAATTTGTTAATTTATTTACAGTATCGACAAGTATTACTATTGTCAGTAGAACTCAGGATTTCATGCAAATGTGACAGAAATTGTTAATGTGTAAACACTAATCATTATGTTCCGCCGAAGTTATTTCTTGGAAAAAAAAGTGTTATAGTGTAATTTTTCTTCATTCAAGACATTCCAATGTGCTCGCAATTAACATTTCTTGCAGACAATATGTGCAACGTTGATTTGAAAATTTTGAAAAATTTTTTTTTCAAGAGTCAAGTAGTGTGTGCTAGTGGTCTCAATGCCAATGCAGACAAAAACCAAAGATAAGAGCATTCTTAACTCAGTAACCGTTTATTGAGGATTGAAAATTCAATAATATTCATAATGATCCTTTCCATCCATTTGGAAAAAGGTCTGAGAACATCAGCTCGGCGCTTCTAAATCAGGATTACAAAATTAAGATTGAAAGTGTAATAAATAACTGTCAAAGGTTTGTTCATAATTATGAGTTTTTGACGCATTAATGGCAATTGAATAGGTAGGAAATAATAACATCAGCTGCTTATTTTTTTTAGAAGAGAATTGTTGTTTTTTAACCATTCAGATGCAAGAATTAAAGAATCATGAAACAATGTTGAAGATTTATTGAAATTAAGAAAGCTCTGATTGCACCAGAGTAACAAATTTTTTAGGAATAGAAAGAACTATCAAGAGATAAATTTTTTACTATAATAAAAAAAAAATTTTATTTTAAATTCGCTACACAATACATAATATTCACACTCATTAATAATTCAAAAGATAAAATTTTTTGTAAAAAATTTAACAAACGCTACATAATTATGAAGATGTTTAATATTCCAATATTTTTACCAGAAATACCAATGTTAAACATTGCTAGTAAATTGGGTAGAGAGCTCTTAATATTAATATATAATATTGTATATTATTCTTTACCTTGATTAGACTCAATATTCAATTATTGAAAAGTATAAACCATCCTCCATTAGAGAAAAAGATTTAAAATTTCCTCTTGACATAGCATATTTCTTAATGTTATTTTTTGCATTAACTATTAGATTCGCCAAATTTTTGTCATAGTTCTTCTCCAATTGTAGAGTGAACAGAATTAATAATGATAGCAGGAGCTACATCAGAATTTGATG